CAAGGAGAAACTTTCCAACGTGGACGTTTACTCGATTCACCCGAGTTTACGATACATTTGATTATAAAATCGATACTTTAATGCCGAAGGACAATGCGGTATTAGGCTTTATATTTTTTATATAATTTATAATTGACATTATTTGTACGAAACACGCAAAATGAAAACAAATTCCTATACACACGTCCTTCCTATACAATTGAATTAATTATCGTGTTTACGCTGAAATATGAAAAGTGAGATAAATGTCTACGAAACGAGAAATTGGATTTTGTACAATATTTAACGCGATATCGAACACGATGCGCTACGATAAGTAAATGTACTTTTTTTCACAATTAAAGAAGAAAAAAAAAGATAAGATGTGACTTGTCTTTTCTAATCACATTTCGCTTCATCCTCCATGACATCTGAAAATAGCGTAGTACGCAACTGAAAAGAAAAATACAAGTAAAAATTGATGGCGTACATATATTAGGTAGGTAGGTAACATACGTGGGCTTGTATAATACGACACGATACGTAATATGTGTGACACTTACATTCTGTTTGTCTTTATTCTGACATTGTTCCGAGTCACAGCTACAGTTGTTGCAGGTAACTCCATTCTTGCGACACGTGCATATCCGTGTAGCACATTTAGTTTTACAAGCGCACTTTATCGGGTTCGAATCGGGTTCCATTTTAAAAGTCAATCGTTGAATGGAAAGTTTTGATTTATTCTAAAGAATAAAGAAGATAAAGAAAAAGAAGATAATTCCCCCTCAAAAATAATAATAATTTCACGCAATTATACTAAGTACGTAGCTCTTTTGCACTTGCCTACTTGATAACGGAAAAAAAACTGAACTGTGTAGAAATGGAAAAGTACCGTAAGATATTCGCGACGTTTTTGTAACATTTGTCGTTAAGATTAAGACTTCTGTAAAATTAACACAAATTTACCTGCAATTTTTGTATGCGACTGTAAAGCGGTGTCTTTTTCCAATCTGGATCTTTATCGACATCGTCCTCCATCATTGAACTATCATCGTGCGATAAGTAAGCATTCTCGTTGATTACCTCTATTTTACTTTCCCTCTTTCTTTTCTTAGACGGTGATCTTTCATTTGTATTTAACTTATTCTCTGTTAAAATCTAAAACGCATAATGATGTGATGATCTCTCAACTTGTTTCTCAGCAAACACACACTCGAAGAACATGTTTGTTTCTGACATTATTCTTTACTCGATTACCTGTCTTTCAGATTTTGTCAAAGTTTCAGTATCGCTAGAGGACGTGTCAGACGTATCTCGCGGACGAGATCGCGGACGAGACATTTCATTTACTCTATCCCGTTTTTCATATTCCTCCAGTCGCGCTTCCAAGTTCCGATACTTCTCCTAAAATGTCACAAATTACCTTTGTAATTAATTTAATCGAGTGCGTATTTTAGATATGTAAATTATTTAATATGTAAAAAAAATTACACGTGTATATGTATAATACTAACTTTCAATTCGTCATACTTGTAACACTGTTGCTTCCTGTCTTGTGTAATTATATGGAATGCCGTTTCAAATGCCGCCTTGGCATCCGCTATTGTACGTATTATATTCCATCTGGCACTTGTCCTAGTTTCTAAAGGAAAGAACGGAATTATTTTCTTTATTAACGTAATGTCTAACGCCGGCTCGCTACCTCTATGCCCGGTAAAGTTACTTGCGTAACTTAAAAGATTTTACCCTGGTCCGACTCGAGAATCTTTTGCTGCAGATCTGCAATTTGTGCGTTACGCAGTTCTATAAATTCGGTAAGAGTCATAAGCTCCTCTTCATCCGGATCGCTATTTTTTTTAAGTTGCTCCAATTGATGCACCAACGAAGCTCTATCTTGCATCAGTTTTTCAAGAGAATAATCCGCTTCTACGGTGGCCATTAATACTTCCAATTCCTGAGCCATCCAAGTTTTTATCTCCTCTTTGCTATTGGCCTTCCTTTCCTGACGCTGTATCGCCTTTCTCTGCATCTCCAATGCGCCCTGTATTACACAAAGTCACCTAGCTTAATAGAAGCGTAATGACAGAATGTTACGCAAAGGCAAGCTTCTGACGAGCCTTCCTCTATTTAATAAGCAAGCCACCCCCGTCAGATAGATTGTCGGCAAAGAAACGTACCTTTAATCTTTTGTTAACTGCAAAGGCCTCCTCCATTTTTCTCTTAAAGACATTCTCTTGTTTATTATGTTCTATTTTCATGCGTACCATTTCGTAAGCACGCTTACGATCCTGTGTTCGTAATTTATTAATTTCCTTCTCCTTGGATTGTTTCCACTTTGTAAAATTATTTGCGTCGTTGCGCATCTGCCTGATAAGCTTGACTCGAGTTTCCTTTAACGACTGTATCTCACTGGCGAGAGTTTTAATCCTTTGATCCTGCTTCTCTTTCCCCTTGATTATCTTGTTCTGTTCCGTGCACTTGCGTGTCAATTCCGCTATCTTTCTTTCCAATTCTTGCACCTTTTTACGACGTGTCTCAGCCAATCTGTGCGCAAAGAGAATTCCGAATAAAGTAAAGGGAATTAGAGCGTCTCCATCAATTACATCAACTTTCGACTTACTTGGAGCTGACGTTGTGTGCGTGTACCGCTTGTAAATTTTCCTCTTTTTCCGCATGTAGCCGTTTGAGTTCTTGCTCCATCTCAATGATGTTCTTACGGCTTTCGGCATTTTCTTGCGTGGCGCTTTTTATGAGTTCCGACACGAGGCTTTCTTTAAGCGCCAGTTCCTTATTAATATTTTGCACCTCGTTGTTTCGCTCCGCTTGCCGTAAGGTGTGTTCCTCTTCCTTTTTGTCAAAGTAATCCAAACTGTCTTCGACATTGTTCGATTCTTCTGTACGTACACATTCCGCTACATCTTCCCCCACGTGCGAGACGCAATTTTTGGAGTTGGATATTTCATGATTTATAAGCTCTTCAGATGCCTTCCTTTCATCGTTTTGAATATCTGTGCGGATAAAATAAAAGAAGAGTTACAGACTCACACCAAAATTTATTACTTGCGACATAATTAACGCAACGGTTCACATTGCGAAAAGAGCTCTTACCCAACATCCTTTCGTATATCGCTTTTAATTTATTACGCTTTTCGTCATCGATTTCAGAACAAGTATCGAAATCTTGTAAAACTTGCTTGAATTCGTCTAATAATAATGCCATGGCAATTCTAATTTTTTCTCGAGCTTGTTCTGCCATTTCCGCTCGTTCGTGCATAATTACAATTTCTCCTAAATTCAAATTTAATTTTTCCGTCATGTCTCTGAGTTTGTGCTGTAATACACGATATTTCTCCTCGAGTGCCTCATGCTCCTTGGGACACGTTATGCCGAGTTCTTGACTCATAAGGGCCAGCCGCAGTTCCTGAACCAATTTGTTCAAGCGACTGATCTCCGCTACTTTCGGATCTTGATTCACGATCGGCTTGTTCTTTATCTTGCGCGCACGATCGGCATATCTCAACGTACTAAGAGTTTCATCCAAATTATAATCTGCAAATCGATTTTTCATAATGAAATACATTAAGATACGAATGGGCGCAACTCTAGTTAGACAGATTAGACAGGAGAGATTAGCATGCGAATACCAACCGGCTGGACTGACACAGGCGACCATAAGCGTCATGGAGTTGCCGCCTAAAGAATCTTGTAACAATCGAGTAAGCTTGCTGTCCCTGTATCCTATGTAAGTCCCAGAGGCACCGTCACCGAGTTGCGAGATGACATTCCCTAGAGCCAGTAGACCCTTGTTTATATTTACACCCTCTTTAAACCGTTCTCCGGTGGCTTGAGTTTTTTTACTCCGTTCAGATCCAGCTAAATCAACCAAATGAAGTTTCGCCACTGTTGCTGTATTCCTGCTTGAAAAAAATCCACGTATCTCACAAATTTGGCGACGCAAGATAAAAGATGGACGCGGTAGACGCGACAGGAAAAGAAAAAAAGCAGCGGTAGGACGTATCGCAAGGCGAGAGATTGAAAATTACTTACGGATCATCACTCTTTTGCTGGCGTATGCATAACGTAAATATTGCGTGACTACGGCTACTATGCGCATTCATAGCAGTAGCTCCCGTTACGCGACCCATGGAACCTTGGGCTAAACACTCTAACGTCTCTTGAGCGTTTGCAACTTGTTTCTCGGTTACGCCAACAATTCTTATGCTTTTTCCATCCTCTCTAATATCTACGATGGATTGACTTTTCTGCTTGTCGGACAAGAGATCGTACAATTGTTCTTGATACAATTCCATGAATGAGACCGCAACTTTAAAGTTCCAGTCTTTCTTGGATTCAATTATGTCAAATATATCGTAGATAACTCTCGGAATAATACCCTTCTCTCCCACACCTGTGTAATTGGTGCCCATGGAATGGGTCTTACCACTACCAGTCTGTCCATATGCCAGTATCGTAACGTTATAGCCTGATAAAGAAAGAAAGAGAACCATTATTTACCTTTAACGTAACGCAAGGGCAATATATTATCGAAAAAGTCGAGTTTGCAGAGATTGGTAAAGGTGAGAGAAATATTTACCTTGGAAAGTATTATCTACAAGTCGTTTGATTGCTGTGTTATAAAAGTCCTCTTGTCCAACGTGAGGAGGAAATACGTAATTGTACGTGAATGCTTTGTCGGTATTGCATATGCGAACTTGGTGTTCTCCGGGGATTGTGTCCAAGCATGCTTGACAGCCTTTCTCTAGCTCGCTCTCTACCAATGGACGGATACGTAGAGCGACGCGAACAGTATCGTCGCACATCTATAGGAACAATTAATGTTACATTCAATATACATTAGACATTGGGGACACATATATATATATAGAGCGTAACGTTATCACTCCTATCGCGCTATTTAGCCATGTTTGTTACAACATTTATACATTTTGCTGTAGTAGCCTCCAACATGAAATAATATTGTAGTTATAGTCGAGTTTTTACACTGACAACACACACTTCCAATGTCTTTGAAAGTCTCTCACTAAGAGATCCTGACAGTCATATGACGTTGTTCGTGAAAATACACCAAAAAAAAGAGGAAAACAAGTCAAGTCGGTATTGCAAAGTTGCGAAACAAATATTTAGCCGCGTTACCGTCATTATACAAACAAATAATTGTTAAACGTAAGATAACGTTTCGACAAAAAAAAGGAACGTTGTAGGAATGATACAGAGGAATAAAAAAACTAATATGTATATTTCTTTAAAAAAAAATAGAAAGGAAGATTGTTGCACGAACTTTGTTATCGTTGAACCGCAACATCTATCCACATTTACCACATCTACAGCAATTGACCCCCGAGATGTTTGTTAGCCTCACAATCAGAGACTCCAAGGGAATTGAAGGAAATCATTTTGTAAGACATGCTTACCTTTAAGGGTCGGTCTCGACTATCGAGTGCTTTCGCAGTTTTCGCACGGAGCGTGACAGAACGTGACAGAATCAGACAGAATCGAGAAGAAAATTCTACCGGTCTCGTACACAAGACAATGCGAGCGCGAGGGTTCCCGCCGTTCCGGCGGCTGTTGCGGACTGTTGACACGCACGAGTACGGACGTATACGTACATAGATGCGTCGTATGTACAGGGCACAGAAAGACGTTAAACTTTCAAACAATTTTAAATTCACAGAATTCACTTGACACAGCGAAGTAGGGGTACATAACTAGAGGAACGATCATTCGTAACCAATCCCGATGGAAGGTCCATCTGCGCAATCTCAATATCCGACATTTTGACGTATGTATTCTCCGATTGGAGAATTGATATATTTCTAGGAACTTTAGTTGTATCAGTTACGAAATTGTCCACGATTTTTTTGCCCCTAGAGATGACCCCCTTCTCCTTCGAGCGGTTCGAGAATCGAGGTTCGAGCCTTCGAAATCGAATTTCGTGATTATTGTCGATCGTGATCATGGCTGACAGCTGACCAGTGACAACTCAGACAAGTGACGTGACATGGCCTGGGCCATTCATGCCATTCATGGCTAATGAATGACTGATGTGTAATGATTAAATGATTCTCCTTCTCCGTGATTCTCGATTCTCCTATGTCCCATAATGTAAGAAGACATGTATGCTCGTAGATAAATGAAAACAATACGCGATCGATTAACTTCGCAACTGATTAACTTTCGCTAACCTTCACTAACCTTTACGCGCGAGGAAGACGCTTAACTTGAGAAGAGACCGCAATCGCAATTGTTTGTGTACATACTCGTGTGTTTCAGAAGTATCAGAAAATTATCCTTGAGCAATTGAGCGCGATTGGCAGTAGCCAGTGATCGTAGTGACTATAATGACTATATATTGACACACGGTTTATAATCTGGTTTAATAACTATTAATTACCGTATACTATACTAATATGAACTTACCTGAGCCAAAATTTTTCTTTTCATCACAATATGATCATTTAGATATGAACCTTTTTTGATACTTGAACTACAACCTTTTATATTATAGTTTTACTCACTATATACGTTTACGTGTGCATCAAAGATTGATTTAAATGTTTAGAGTATCAAAATTATAGGAATTCATGTATATTTATAATAAACGATCGTTAATTATAATCAAAAGAAGGAAAACCTTGGATCGGATATAGCTATAGTATACACGATATAGTTATTAAACCGGATTATAGTTATAAGCCGCTTTAATTATAAACGTAGTCTGCAGTGATATATTTCTGACTATACTTGTACACAAGAACGTAATGTAACAAAAATTATACATATTATGATTATGTAAACTTTATATAATACGAAAAACAAACGCGGTTTGATTTAGCTTTGAGCAGAGTTTATTGTTACAATGCTAGATAGATATATTGTACATATAACGCTTAAAACAGAGCCTTTAATTTCTGTTGGAACAACGCTCTATTATTGAACGCGGATCACACACGTCGCTTATTCTTTCTCCGAGTTCGAAGAAAAGGAGGAAAGAGGCGCAAAGCGTCTCTCGACAGACGGCTACTCGCGCAACAAGCAGCAATTCACCTGCAACACGCGTGACGCGAGACGCGAGGGCACCTGAGGGCACCCTACCAACCACTAGGAACGGAAAGTATTAATTTCATATCGTATAAGTATTATTTTTTCCGATCGATATATTCAGCTATAAGCTATAAGGTACTTTGAAGGGAAACTTGGAAAACCGGCATCTGAGAAGCCAGGGAAGCTAGGAAACGTCAGACTACTTTATAATAGCTACTATATATATAATAGCTAGTGGACATGGCACTTACAATTAGTGTCAAGAGAACAAATGTTACAGCTCTAACCACAAGAACTACGTGTCGATCATCGCGAGAGATGCAAAAATGACACATGCAAAATTATTTAGCGAGAATCGGCAGGTACATAGTGACGGTTTTATTACGATTCGAGGGATAGTCTTTTTTTCTCTTTTACGTCCGATAGTAGTAGCAGCAGCAGCAGCAGCTCTTATAATTCGTAAATTCGTTGATCGTGATCGTGATAGAGGATACAACCGGTTGTTGAGAAAAGTTTGGATTTCGAATTGATTGGCTGACGGCTGACGGCTGACGGCGCACGTGGGCCAAGCCAAGGTGTGCAGGGTTTCTCCGGGAGCTATGGAAACTATTTCTAGCCATTATTACGATGTCGTTTATAAAATATCATCTCTCACCGGTATGTGGCCGTATCTAAGGCCAAAAACAAGAGCGTTACGTGTCGCCTTGTTAACCGCAGCCTTATTAACTATACTCGTACCGCAGGTAACGCACGTGATGATTACCGATTAATTCCGACGAATCGACGATCAAAGAATTTGAAAATCGACTGTAACCGACTCAACCTTTTTTTTCCAGCTAGCATATCAATTTATGTGCAAGAGAAACTTGCATTGCACTTTTCAGGCAATGACAGCGTACTTACTGTCAATCGTGGCTCTATTGAAGGTGTACACCTTTCAATTCAACACTCGTACAGTATGTTTCGTAACATATATAAGTACGCAATTATATGTCCAATCGAAGAGGTTGCGAGTTAATTAGAAATGTAAAAAGCGCCGCAGAAGCGGGAAGAGAAAAAATATATACGTATTTTCTTTTTAAGGGGTCATGCCTAGTCAGGAAGCCGAAAAATAGGTGATTTTTAAGGTTTTTTTTGCCAAAACTGTAAGACTTGTTTAAATTTGGGTTGGTCTATGTGAGAGAATATATTTTTATGAATGTAACATAATTTTTTAAATAAAAAATATAAATAATTAAAAAAGATACGGCTATTCTCCTGAAGGCCCTTTTGGTTTTGCGGTGACCACTGCTGCTCCGATCTGGATCATCTAAAATCAAAAATCCGAAAAGATTTATTTAATATATTAAAGTATCTAGTGAGTGAACGAACAGTTTTTCGAAATATTGATTTGGGACAAAATGGCGGACGTTCAAAGTTAAAGTTTAGATTTTCTTTTTTTCTTTTTATCGAAAATCGAAAATTGAAACTTTAAACTTTGAACGTCCGTCATTTTGTCTCAAATCAATATTTCGAAAAACTGTTCGTTCACTCATTACATACTTTAATATATTAAATAAATCTTTTCGCATTTTTTATTTCAGATGATCCAGATCGGAGCAGCAGTGGTCATCGCAAAACCAAAAGGGCCTTTAGAAGAATGGCCGTATCTTTTTTAATTATTTATATTTTTCATTAAAAAAATTATGTTACATTCATAAAAATATATTCTCTTACATAGACCAAGCCAATTTTAAACAAGTCTTACAGTTTATGCAAAAAAAATCTCAAAAATCACCTATTTTTCGGCTTCCTGACTAGGCATGACTCCTTAACTCTTAATTTGTAAGAGACGTACCTTAACATTAACAAGACTATATCGATCGATGCTCTTATTTACCAGATTAAAGGCCTCACTCAGCCCTTGTTCTGGGCGTGGAAAGAATTAAATACTTCTGAAGAGTATGAAATTATGAAGTCTTACGCCGCGAATGGTAGACGATTCTCTTTGGTATATTCCGGTGAGATATGACTATGAGATATCCGAACGCGAGAACGCGCGCGTTAATTAATTCTCGATTTTCCCAGGTATTTCGCTAATTATATATCTCGTGTATTATACGTTGCAGTATATTGCTTCGCGGCGATAATGGTGTTCATGTCAATGTCCCTTATACCGTATACCCTCGATATCGTGCTGCCTCTCAACGAATCTCGCCCCGTATTACCGCCGTATCGAGGATACTACTTTGTCGATATCCGAGAATATTTCTTTCAAATATTCTGGCATGCCGTCGTGGCCTGGGAGATTGTCATAGCCGGTATAATTGCCCACGATTGTTTGTTCGTAACGTATGTCGAGCATGTTTGCAGCATGTTTGCTATAACCGGGTAAGGAAACGAATTTATAATCGTTGCACAGTGAGCTCACACAAAAAGCTCACGCCAAAGCACACATCAAAGCATCGATCGTTGAATATGTGCCTCACATTCAACAGAGACAAGATTGCGTAAGCTATGTGTACATGTATATGTATACAGGTAATATTTACAGATTTCATTACGAACATTTGTTTCACGATTGTGAGAAAAAAATTGAATTTTTGCCATCGATAAACAGCGACGCGACATATTCCAAGAGAGTTGCATTCCTCGTGCGCAAACACCGCGAAGCTTTAGAGTGAGTGTGCACACGACGTGCGAGTCTGCGTGAACAGTATATAAAATTTAATAAAACGTAACGCGCACATTTACATGGCATAGAAATGGACGCATGTAAATGAACTCACTCTCTGACTCACGATTAGAATTTCGCTCTTCTCTTTCCCGTTTGTCACAGATATGCGCAACTTCTCGAAGACACGTTTACCGTACCTTTTGCTATGCAGATGTTGATAGTAACGATAGGGATGAGTATTACTTTGCTACAAGTACGTTTAATAATAATAATAATAATTCTTACAAGATCCGAGACACCCAATCTCTGCACAATGTATTCAAACGTTATATTTTTCGTGCTGCAGATTACGCAGGACACTAGCGATATCTTAGAAGCAACGAGGTACGTGTTCTATATCGTTGGTCAGCTGATTCATTTGTTCTTCCTTAGTTTCGAAGGGCAAAGGTTGATAGATCACAGCCACCAGATACACGATAAGATGTAAGACGTTTGCAATTATTTTCCATTCACTAGAAAAAAGAAACGTGTGACTTACATATATTTATACCATACGTCATATGTATGTATATTTTTGTTATTTCTTGTATTTCGTCTATCTTAAAATAAAAATATCGCAGGTATAGCAGCTCTTGGTACAAAGCATCCATGAAATTACAAAAGATAGTCGTGCTAGTGATGATGAGGAGTTTTCACCCGAGTTTCTTAAGTGCCGGCAAAATTTATATTTTCTCGCTACAAAGCTTCACTATGGTAAAGAGAAAATTGTTTCGGGTCGCAAACCGGTTGTCTTTAGAAGATTTCTTATATATAATGACACACGATGCTCTTGCTTTAAAGATTCTACAAACCTCAATGTCGTACTTTACGGTACTCGCATCCTTTCAATAACCACGTAACTTCCTATGTCCAACAATCGAGCGACAACGGTCGACATCGAATTGAGCCATCGAAAACAATATACGTGTCTCTCTAATACTTTTATTACATAATAATATACTTTTGTTAATGATATATACGTAATACTGATAATTTGTATACCTAACTTTGTATCAAGTTTTATCAAAGGTAAGAGTCTCATCGTTAAACATATAAGACTTTACTTTCCGAATGAAGAGGTTGCTTCCAGAACTACCGTGACAAGAAAAAGAAGTACTCGACTGATCGATAAGTTCCATTCGGGGGAAGCTTGCACAACATGCTAAGCGACACGCGCCTACCAATGGGGCTTCACTTTTCTCTACCTAATATTTAGTGTCAAAGGAATAAATACTAGACTATCGTTCGAATACAAACTATGTCGTGCTTCGTGGAAACGATTGCAACAGCTGTGTCGTGGCAATTATATGAGAAAACATTGTAGGCGTGTAACATTTGCATTATGCATGACCTGTCCAAGTTCTTAAATTATCCTTCGTACCAAGAGAATGGAATCTTCTAGGTAAGATAAAAGCCGAAATCAGTTATCTAGACAAAGTCAGAGACGAAAGACTCTATATCTGTGACTAAAACTATGAACGTCAACTCGAGTCACTATTATGATCTTGTTAAGAAACTGTCGTCATTAACCGGCCAGTGGCCCTATCAGAGACCAATAACGAGGTTGATCTGTGTGATCTTGATGACTTTGAGCACGATGTCTATGATTATTCCACAGGTAAAATCGATAATTCTCATAATAAAAGTGCAATAGCGATAGCTTAAACATTTGAATTTCTAGATAGCTAAATTTTTTACATGCCAAGGAAACTTGCAATGTATCTTTCATACTATGTCGTCTTATATATTGACCACTATAACATTGGTGAAACTGTATACGTGTTACTTTAACCGATGTAAAGTATGTAAAATTATTTAATTTCTTGCGGTGTTCGTATTACATGTATAATATTATGCCCAAGCGTACACTATAACTATGTTTAAACGTTACCATTAATCGGGTTTAATAACATTAGTACTGACGTAAAATGTCATATAAATGCTTAAATCCGATTTTTATAACACCAATTACTCTGCACCCGTTGACGATGAAGAGATGTAGGACTTACAAATTCGGTTTTGAAGCGAGTTGATATATATGATTGTATTGCCTCAACTTATAAGATAAAATTCTGAAAAGTACATATATCTGCTGTATTTCTTTGACAAGATCAAGATTTCATTATTTGGAAATAAAATAATATCTCTTCGTGTAAACGAAGTGCATTTTAAGAAATTATAACTATCAGATATTATTAAACCCGATTAATATGGTAACGTGTAAACTTATTGTTAGTCTCAATATCTTATATTGTGATGTTATACGTATATATCCGAATGCATTGTGCGTGTGCGTGTGCGTGAGCGTGTGCGTGTGCACGTGTTTGTGTTCCATTGTTAGAACATATTAAGCCACGAAGAAAAGTTTATCATTAATCGTTGGTACATCGCTAGATGAAAGTTCTCATTGATCAGTTATTCGTTGATTGGAACGAATTGGAAACACCAGAAGAGTATGAAATTATGAAGAGATATGCCAAGAACGGGAGGCGATATTCTTTGGGATACTCGTGTAAGAATGAACCGTACGATTTTCGTCTTTTTTCATATATTTATCCCTGTCTGTTATTATTTTCGCGAAATTATTACAATTTAGCTATCGTTGGACGAACGCTTCGTCTGTGTTGCAGTGTATTACTATTTTGGCGTATATGTGTTTATATCTATGTCCCTTATACCGCAAGTGTTGGATGTTGTTTTGCCTCTCAACGAATCCCGTCCTATACTGCCGACATATCCAGGATATTACTTCGTTGACGAGAGGAAATATTTCTTCTATATTTTCTCACATTCTATAATGGCTTGGGAAATTGCTGTGACTGTGATAGTCACTCACGACTGCATGCTCCTAACTTACATCGAACATGTTTGCAGTATTTTTGCACTAGTCGGGTAAAAATAATTTAATCTTGTTAGCAAAATTGTTGCCACGCGTATATCATTGCGAATATATTTGCAGATTTCGGTTTGAACGATTAATATATAATGATGCCATGAAAGTTTTACATTCTCATATAAGTGACGCGTACCGCAAACGAATTGCATTTTCCGTGTATACGCACCGAAAGGCTTTAAAGTGAGTAATGTTAATGGAAAGAGAGAGAAAGAGAGAGAGAAATTTCAATTCGTGTTATTATTGTACCTCTCACTCTTGCCATAGATTCGCACAGCTGATCGGAGATACGTTTTCATTAACACTGACTATACAACTAGCGCTAAATACAATAATGATCAGCATTACCTTATTACAAGTACGTGTTTATCCATTCCAAGTTTCTATCCAACATGTGTTCCTGACACATTTAAAATCAGATAATCACATCACTTTTTAAAATTATAAGAAATTAAAGGCACACATATGCGCAAGGAAATAAAATATTATATTTTTCGTATTGAAGGTCACACAGCGGAAAGCCAGTATTTTAGAAATGATAAGGTACGTCATGTATGTCGTTGGTCAATTGATTCATATATTCTTCCTTAGTTTCGAGGGACAAAAATTGATAGATCACAGTCTTCAAACCCGCGATAAAATGTAAGACGAATGATTTTGTGACAATTATTTTATTGGAATTTAGTTAGCGCATTATTCAAGCGTTACAGCTATAACAGTCTTTGGTACGAAACGCCCACCAAGTCGCAAAGGATGCTTATGTTTGTGATGCAAAAGAGTCTTCAACCAATCTTCTTAAGCGCTAGCAAAATTTTTATTTTCTCAATGGAAAACTTTACCATGGTAAAAATTAAAAATTATAATATACATTCTATATTATAATTGTTGTAAAACAACAGTTTATTTAGTAACATGTGTTTTAAGGTCGTGCAAACTTCAATGTCGTACTTTACCGTACTCTCGTCTTTTGAATAATTAAGAAAATAAGTGATCAATGTCCAAAATATCAGTCCTGCATCCAGTCCGTTCGCAAAAATCACAATTTTGACGTGTTTATATCAAGGCAAGTATATTACTTATTTGCGCGTAACATTGAGTAACAATTTATAGCAATAGTGTAACGAACTGTAGCGAATTTGTATCACTCGTTCGTCTCTGCAGCATGTGTATTGATACTTGAAATCAAACAAAAGTTGAATTGTGAAAAAATAGACGTAACTCTGAAGCTTTTTGTGTAATAAAAGGAAAAAAAACATGTAAAAATTGTTAGTTTATTATGGTTATGAGTTATAATAAGGTTCAATAATTTAGAAAAACTGTAATCTTTACGTAACACAATATATTAACATATATGTGAACTTGTATCGATATAATTTCGCAATACAATTACAAGGTATTTATAACTTACACGGTTATCACGCGAAAAATGTAAGGTAAAGTTGTCTTTTTTCCTCACGACCATCCGCAATGTCTGCTAAAGTAGTCTGTCGTGCTTTTTAATTCGTCAAAGATTGATCTTATTGTTAAACTGATTCTCTGCTGTCAATTGCTTTGAATAAAATTACAGTATGCATTAAAGTCTATATGTTCTTTCATTAGTTCTTGGAAAGACAAAGAGAACAGTAAGAGAACATCTTACCACCCTTACATTAAAAGACTGAGAAATTTTTTCTTTTTTAATTCTATAATCGATACGTTCCGCATGCGGAAAGAAATTCGCAAAACAAATTCGCAAACTATTCTTACCAATGAACATCAACGTAAATGTCTTATCATCTTTTTCATATTCGTGGGTCCGAAACTTTTGCTACGTATCTCTTGTAGAACAGGAATAATATTTTTGTAGACTCCAAAATGAACCATCAAAAACGATATATATATATATATATATCAAAGGTAAGAGTCCCATCGTTAAACATAGATTTTATTTTCCGAATGAAGAAGTTTCTCCCAGAAACCTTCCTTTCCTCCCCCTGCTATGAGGAGGAAAAGAAGCACTTTACTGATCGATAAGTTCCATTCGAAAGGAACCTGCTAGCATGTGCTAAGCGACACGCCTACCAATATCATGGGGCTTTATTTCTCTCTCTACGTAATATTTAGTGTCAAAAAAAATAAATACATAATATACTACTGTCGTCCGTATACAAGCTATGTCGTGCTTCGTGGAAACGATCGCGACAGCTGTGCCGCGACAATTATGAGAAAACACTGTAGGCGTATATATACATTTGCATTATACATGACCTGTCCAGGATCTTAAATTATCTCGCGTACCAAGGGCATGGAGTCTCCTAGGTAAGAATAAAAATTCGAAATCAGTTATCTAGACAAAGTCGGAGACGAAAGACTATTTGTGACTAAAACTATGAACGCCAACTCGAGTCACTATTATGGTGTTGTTAAGAAACTATCATCAGTGTCCGGTCAGTGGCCCTATCAGAGACCAATAACGAGGTTGATCTGTGTGATCTTGATGACTTTGAGCACGATTTCTATGATTATTCCACAGGTATAATCGTTAATTCTTAATAAAAATTATATAGCGAGAGCTTAAACGTTCGAATTTTTAGATAGCTAAATTTGTTACATGTGACGGAAACTTGCAATGTATTTTTGAAACTATGACGTCCTATATGTTGACAACCGTGTCATTGGTGAAGCTGTATACGTGTTACTTTAACCGATGTAAAGTACGTAAAATTATTCATTTCTTGTGGCGTTTGTACATATTATGCAAAATGCCGAGAGTATACAATATCTCAAACTTAATGTTTGTGTGTGTGTGCACAGTAAAAAAGATTTTAACACATTGTCTATTTATGTTCCAATCGGTCTACTCAAAATAGTTGTTAAAAATTTTTGTTGAATTTTTAACATATCCAAGTGTTAATTTAACATTATGTGGTTATGTTATTTGAATATTTTGTGTTAAATTGATATTAAACATTCTTAGTGTTAATATTTGTGTTACTTTTTGACATATTCATCTTGTGTTGAAATAACACAAAAATTTGGGTAGACCGATTGGGACATGGAAATGTCTTAAATTAACACAAAATTTTTTACTGTGTGTGTGTGTGTATGTGTTCTATTATTAGAATAGATTAGTGTATTAGGCCACAAAGAAAAGTTTATCATTAATCGTTGGTACACCGCTAGATGAAAGTTCTCATTGATCAGTTATTCGTTGATTGGAACGAATTGGAAACACCAGAAGAGTACGAAATTATGAAGAGGTATGCCATGAACGGGAGGCGATATTCTTTGGGATACTCGTGTAAGAATGAACCGTGCGATTTCCGTCTTTTTTCATATATTTATCCCTGTCTGTTATTATTTTCGCAAAATTATTAAAATTTAGCTATCGTTGGACGACGTTGAACGCTTCGTCTGTGTTGCAGTGTATTGCTATTTTGCCGTGTATGTGTTTATGTCTGTGTCCCTCATACCGCAAGTGTTGGATATTGTTTTGCCTCTCAACGAATCCCGTCCTATACTGCCGACATATCCAGGATATTACTTCGTTGACGAGAGGAAATATTTCTTCTACATCTTCTCGCATGCTATCATGGCCTGGGAAATTGCTATGACCGGTATAGTTACCCACGATTGCATACTCCTAACTTACATCGAACACGTCTGCAGTATTTTCGCACTAGTCGGGTAAAGATCGACCTAGTATCGTTGAAAAAATTCATGTCACACAATCATCACAATATCATGGCAAATATATTTGCAGATTTCGGTTTGAACGATTGATGTACTTGTCTAAACGTAATAATAATGACCCGGTGAACATTTCACATTCTCACGCAAGTGACACATATCGCAAGCGAATAGCGTTTTCCGTGTATACGCATCGAAAGGCTTTAAAGTGAGTAGTACATATAGCGGTACATAGTTAAGAGAAAAAGTGAGACAAAGGCGGCAGAAAGAGGAGAGGAAAGTGATGTCGATTCGTGTATCCCTCGTTTTTCCCATAGATTCGCTCAATTGATCGAAGATACGTTTTCGTTAACGCTCGGCGTACAAATAGTGATAAATACAATAATGATCAGCATTACCTTGTTACAAGTACGTGTTTATTCATTTCTAACATTTTATCGAACATATGTGTTCTTCATGCATCTAGAATCAGATATATATACTTTTTCAAATTATAAGAGAAGCTCCTCGCGCACACGCGAGAAGTTAAAATATCATTCTTTTTTTTTTTTGTTTTGAAGATCACGCAGCAGGACGCCGGTATTTTAGAAGTGATAAGGTACGCGATGTATGTCATTGGTCAATTGATTCATTTGTTCTGTCTCAGTTTTGAGGGGCAAAAGCTAATAGATCACAGTCTTCAAACCCGCGATAAAATGTAAGATAAAAAAATTTTGTAATTATAGTCACATTATTGCGGAATTTAGTTGGCGTATCACTGAAGCATTTCAGCTATAACAGCCTTTGGTACGAAACTCCCACCAAGTCGCAAAGGATGCTTCTGTTTGTGATGCAAAAGAGTCTTCAGCCAATTTTCTTAAGCGCTGGCAAGATCTATATTTTCTCAATGGAGAACTTTACCATGGTAAAAATCCAATAAGACATTGTTATTGCCGTAGAATAATAGTTTATTTAATAATCCGCGTTTTCGTGCAAAGATCGTGCAAACTTCAATGTCATATTTTACCGTACTCTCGTCTTTGGATTAATTAAGCAAAACGATCAATGTCCAAATGTCAGTCCTGCATCCAGTCCGTCTGCAAAAATTATATTTCTTATGTGATATCAAGGCAGGTTTGTTGCCCGTTTGCGCGTAAGTAACATTTATGGCGTGATTGTAATATTGACTGTAGTGAATTTGTATCTTTGTGATGTATTAATACTTGAAATCAAACAAAAGTTGCATGTCGTGAGAAAGATATTCGTAACTCCGAAATGTTTTGTCTAGTGAAAGAATAAATATACAAAAAAATTATTAGATTGTATTTGTCAGGTTTAATTAACTTACAATTAGAAAAACTGTAATCTTTGCGATTGCGTAACGCAATATATGTAGATGGACTTACCGATACGACCGATAGTTTCGCGATACAAGTTACAACAATAATGAGTCACGCTTATTCGTTGTTATCACGAGGAAAATGTAAGGTAAACTCGCTCTACTCTCACGGTCTTCCGCGACGTCTACTCAAGTATAAACATATACATATATCTTTTACTCGTGTTGTCTGAGTCGTCGAAGATGGGTGTTAAATTTGAAAACGAATTCTCTGCTGTCAATTGCTTAGAATGCAATTGGGTGCGATAAACTGTACGTTGTATCGTCAGTTTCTAGAATGAAAAAAGAAAAAAGAAGAAATGTAAGTAATGTGACCGCCCGTATATTAAAAGTTTCAAGTTTTCTTGGAAATTCTATAATCGATACGTGCCGTGCGCGGGAGAGTCTTCGCAAAATGAATTCACAGAACGTGCTTGTCAATGGGGCTTGTCAATCTACGACTTCTACGTAAATATCATCCCTGTCTTCTATGAGAACCGCGTGTCACTCTTTACCCGTAAGGAGACATACTGCAATTGCTGTGAGAAACTATCGTAAGGGTATAGCATTTCTATTTTATATTATGTGTGTACAATATATATAGATATATATTGTATGATATGTGTTTGAGATCTCAGGCTATTTCTCATAGTACCATGGGATGAGGACTTGAATGAAACGAGAGGACTTTAGCGACAAATTTTAAATCAGTCGTTCATGCGAGGTCAGAGACGAAGGATCGCCTGCGAGCTATGGATACCGTTATTTGGGATCATCATTATGACATTGTTAAAAGAGTCTCATCGTTGGCTGGCCAGTGGCCTTACCAGAGACCAAAAACAAGATTGCTCTGTGTCGGCTTGGTGACCCTGAGCACATTTTCTATGAATGTTCCACAGGTAAGAGGTTTCGTCTTTTTTTTTACGAACATTATTTTTTACAAAGAGGTGTGATATGTATCAATAGTGAAGTTTTTTATAGCCCGATTAAACAATAATACTTCCAGATGGCCAGATTTGTAACATGTGACAAAGACTTGCAATGTATTTTTGAAACCATGACATCATTTATGTTAGCAACCATGAGTTTGGTGAAACTGTACACGTGCTACCTTAATCGTTACAAAGTACTATGTAGATACAAAGTTCTCTCTCTCTCTCTCCCTCTCTCAGAGTCAGCGCGTTCCTCTTTCTCGAACAAATTGAAATTGAATTGGATGCATATACACCTTATTTTTGCACGCGATAAAACTTTTCAATGTGTAGATAGCCTTGATAACACGGAAGAGGTCCAATCGATATTTAAGTCATCGCCATATAGATGTGTTATAGATATAATAATACGTTTCGTGGAGATATTTCGGCATGAATATTTCGGCATGAATAGTTTCGATCATATTTGCGATACGCACATTACGCACATACTCTCCTCGCGTTCAATCAATTTCGGAAATTGTATTTTAGTGATTAATAAAAGAATAATCCTTTTATAATAATAAAATCCTCTAACAACGAATCTTAATGATAATATTATATCACACTCATTGAGCAAAGTCTATATCGAGTCAATAAAATCAATTTCAGGGAAACAAGGGCCGCGCTGACTCGTAACTCTGGAAAATCCACAGCGATTACGCTGCGTTTTTTTTCTAAACTTTATAACATTATTACATCATTCGTTTCGTAACATTTGAATTACTTCCAAATTTACAATATCTCAACAAGCTTTAGAATTCCATCGATCGTAGTGGATTAATCTACAAAGATATATCCATTGTCATAATCGGTTCTTAGATGAAAGAGCTCACCGATCATTTGTTTGTCGACTGGAATGCACTGGAAACGTCAGAAGAGTACAAAATTATGACGAAATATGCCAAGAATGGCAGACGATATTCCTTGGGATACTCGTGTAAGAATAAACTGTGCGATCTCCATCCGTGCATTTGTTTTCTCTGCTCCTTTTCTTTTGTATGAAAATACACAATTTAACAATAATCAGATGTTCACTTTATCTCTCGCGTAGTGTATTGCTTTGTAGCCCTTTGTCTATTTTTGTCAATGTCTCTCATACCGCAAGTGTTGGATGTTGTACTACCTCTCAACAAATCCCGCCCTATTCTACTGACGTATCCAGGATATTACTTCGTCGATGAAAGAGAATACTTCTTCTACATCTTCTTGCATGCTGTCGTAGCCTGGGAAATTGCTATAACTGGATTAGTCGCCCACGACTGCATATTTGTTACTTACGTTGAACATGTTTGCAGTATGTTTGCTATAGTCGGGTAAGCGGATAAATTTCCAGATCGAGTCAGATTTCACGCAAAATGAGTTGCGTACGAATTGCTTGCAGATTTCGTTTTGAACATTTATTTTGTAATCAATGCAACAACCAAGTGAAAACTATTGATACTGATAATACGAATGATACACCCTGCAAAAGAGTCGCGTTCATTGTGCACGCGCATCGAGAAGCTTTAAGGTAAAGCGAATGATTAGTCGCCCATCCAGTACCATTAAGAATAAGTCGTGGCAGCATATGTGTAACTACAGAAAAAAATGTATCTCAATTTAACAATAAAAGAATATCCAGAAAAACTCGACAAAAAATTCGACAAAAATTCAAGTGGCTTTCAAGAATCTTGCTCGTTTACCACAGGTACGCGCAACTTCTTGAAGATACCTTTAACGTACCTTTCGCTATGCAGATACTGATAGTGACGATAGGGATGAGCATTACATTGCTACAAGTAAGTATTCATTTATTATGAAAGAGATCAAGAGAGTGGCACTTACTACTCTGCAAAATATTAAAATAGATATTTTTTGTGCTTTTTTTGTGAAGATGATGCAGCAGAACGACAGCAGCAACTTTTTAGAAACAATGAGGTACGCGTTGTACGTCATTGGTGAACTGATACATTTGTTCTTTCTCAGTTTCGAAGGGCAAAAGCTGATAGATCATAGTCTTCAGATACGCGACAAAATGTAAGAGATTTTTCTTTCTTAAAAAAAAAATCCTATCATTTATCTGCATATTTCTTATGTACTTCATATATTCGTGTGAAACATTATAGGTATAATAGCTGTTGGTACAAAGTATCCATCAAGTCACAAAAATTAATTATATTGGTGATGATAAGGGGTCTTCGATTGAGTTTCTTAAGCGCCGGCAAAGTTTACATTTTCTCTCTGGAGAGCTTTACTACGGTAAAACGAGGATTATTACGAGCAAATGTTGCTTTAAAGCTTCTTTAACGACACGTGGCACTTTTACTTTAAAGGTTCTACAAACTTCAATGTCATACTGTACGGTACTCGCGTCCTTTCAATAGCTGCTGCTTTCAATACGTGCCATTCGATTAATTGCACGATGGCATCAAATTGTCAAGGAAGCGAAACGCGTACCGCTTTGAGAAATTTTCCCGTTAGAATAGTATATATTATTGTTAATCGCATGTACGTAATATTTTTAATTTGCATTAATTTACTGTTCAAATTTGTTCAATGATATCGAATGTCCGAGTATCGTTGCGTGCCGCACCACGAATTTAACTTCTCGCGAGTCTCCAAATGAGAAGGTTCAATTTCCAGAGAATCGCCGAGCGAAAAAAAATAAAACCTTCTGAAGCCAATCGATATATGTTCCATTTGAAGGGGAACTTGCAAAACGTTGCTGGATAACCGTCACCGTAGGATTTCACTTTCCTCTACGTCTACGTTATATTTACTGTCAAGGAAATAAAAGTCACTCGTGCCCGTATAAAGAGATACGTGTCATTCATTGCTGCGTAGAGACAGACTGCGATTAGCTATAGACTATAGACGAAAACATTGTAGGGGGGCATTTTATAGTAGCATTACTATTTAATATGTCCAAGAACTCTTAAATTAACCCCATGCCTCTATATGTAGTATATGGCGGGGGGAGGGCGCGGGAGTAAAAACTTGGGTGAAATAAAATTCTCAAGTTAGTCGATCGGACGAAGCTGTTTTTGAACTATGAATTTCACCGCGAGCCATTATTACAGCGTCGTTAAGAAAATGTCATCGTTAGCTGGTCAGTGGCCGTATCAGAACTCAAAAACAAAATTAATCTATTTGAGCCTCGTGACTTTGAGCACGTTTTCCATAATTATTCCACAGGTAATTGATAAAATCCTTGATCAAAATTAAAATTGACGAGAAGAAGCGTAGGCAGTAGGAATTTTTTTTACTGGATAAGATAAGTGGTATATTTCCAGATGGCTAAATTCGTCGTATGCGACGGGGACCTGCAATGTATATTTCAAACCCTGGCAGCATATATATTGGCGATAGTAGCATTGGTGAAGCTGTACACGTGTTACTTCAACCAATATAAAGTACGTTAGCACTGTGCTACGACCTGCTCTATGATCTGCAATTTATTATGTGTGCCCGAGATTGCGGTATATCTCAAGTTTTAATATATTTCATCGTAGAGTGCGTTAAGCTATGAAGAAAAGTTGATTATTAATTGACAGTAATCCTAGATGAAAGTTCTGATGGATCGACTATTCGTCGAATGGAAGGAATTGAAAACACCGGAAGAGCAAGAAATTATGAAGAGATATGCCGAGAATTGCAGACGATATTCCTTGGGATATTCGTGTAAGAACTAAACGTGCAATTTTTATCTCTTTGTACCTTTATCTCGCTATATATAAATATGCCGTTTTTTAAATGAAAATTTAACGATGTTGTTGGACGATCACTTCATTTATTTTGCAGTATATATGTTCACAACTGTATTTCTGTTTATGTGTATGTCTCTTATACCCCCACTATTGGATATCGTATTACCTCTCAACGAATCTCGCCCCGCACTGCCAGTTCACCCGGGATATTACTTTGTCGATGAAGAAGAATATTTCATCTATATCTTTTTGCACGGTCTCGTGGCCTGGCAAATTGCCGTGATCGGGGTAGTGGCTCACGATTGTATGCTTCTAACTTACATCGAACATGTCTGCAGTATTTTGACACTAGTCGGGTAAAAATTTGTCGTAATTATTGTTGAAAAAGTGATATCACGCACATCGCAATATCGTTGCGAATACATTTGCAGATTTCGAATCGAACGATTGATGTATAAACGTAATGACGCTGTGAAAGCTTTACATTCTCATGTACACGTAAATGACACGTACCGTAAACGAATTGCATTTTCCGTGT